TTGGCTCTCCTCCTCACAGACCTCCAGTGTCACTAGGTCATCAGGGTCATTGTTGGTCATCTCTAGAGTTCTGCTCATGTGTACTGAAAATCACCATGACTACCATGACTAGCTTTGAACATCAAGGAAGTTGCCCTGTTATGACTGGATTTCACTAAAACTTTGTCCTATGTCCTTGGTGGCTCCCAGAAAGCTCAAGGAAGTTTGTTTACCTGGCTGCTGTTCTCCTTCTAATTCTGCTAATGTTTGCACTGATGTACACTCTTTAAAGGGGGGGGGCGTATACGAATAATCAATGTGTGCTGTGCAGTTATGACTTTGCCTTTCTGTGCTCATTTCTGGCTTTGGCATTGTTAAGTAATCCCTGGGATTTTCTCTCTTGGTTTTGTTTTCATATTATATAAATGATTCTCTATTGACATCAAAATCCAATGCATGATGATGTTCAAATTCCATTCACCCACTTAATTCATAGAATAAATTTGATCCACCACACTGTGTGGATTTTATTATAATGAATAACATTACTTTTCCATTTTAAAAGTTATCTTTTATGTTCTTCTCATGTTAATTATTAGCAGTATTTCATTTCCATCATTACAAGCTCTAGATTCATGTTAGGCTTATACTATTTTAAAGCAGACTTTGTGATCTTTTAAAGGTTTTAGAAATCAGTTCTCCTAGTTTAAACCTACTCTTTGCCAAACTCTCTTCTGTAAACCAGGGATAACAACAATGATTTGTGTTTTTGTTCTTTAACCTCCAGCAACACAACACTGTGTGCAGAGGCTATCGTATGTTGTGCTAAAACTTCGTAGTTTGATGCAATCTTGTTTGTCTATAATTTTTTTGTCCTCTGAGGGTTTTATTCAAATCATCATGGTCCCTTCCACTACCTTGAAGCATCTTGTGTTCGTTTTCTTCTCTTCCTTTGATAGTTTCACATCTGAAATTTAGGTTCTTAGAAACATTTAAAATTTTATTTTATGTATATTTTATTTATGCCTTTTGGATGCTGCTTCAGTGACACGTGAGGCAAGTAGTGCATAAGTAAATGGAAAAATATGCTTCAATGGTGCCATTTCCCCAAAAAAACAAAGAAAAATTAGACTTGTTTCCATTAAATTTACTTCTTTTGAAGTTTATTTTTTGAGACTATTATACATGAAGATTGTATTTGCATCACTTTTGCCCCTCCCCTCCAACAACTCTTGCTGTGTACTTCTTCATTCCCTCTCAAATTCATGACCTTTTCCACTTCAATTAATTTAATTGCTATTGGTTGATATGGGCATTCAGTTTTCCTAGCACCATTCTTTGAAGAAGATGGCCTCTTTTCTCCACTCTAAGTTTTTGGTATCTTTGCCAAATATCATACAACTGTAATTACATGTACTTATATTTGGGTCTTCTATTTTGTTCCATTGATCTACTTGTCTGTCTTTGTGCCAGTACCATGCTGTTTCGATTACTATAGCTTTGAAGTATAGCTTGAAATTCAATATATTCATCACTCCAGCATTATTATTTTTAGTTAGGATCCCTTGGGTTATCTGGTGTGTGTGTTTGTGTGTGTGTGTGTGTGTGTGTGTGTGTGTGTGTGTGTGTGTGTGTGTGATTTTATATGAAATTTAGGACTTATTTTTACTGCTTCTGTGAAAAATGTGTGGATTTTTTTTTATTTGAGTTTGCATTGAATCTTTGAATTGTGCCTTGCTGTGGGATGTCCTGTATGTTGTGAATAAATAAAACTCTGATTGGCCAGTAGCCAGGAAGGAAGGATAGGGTAGGCAGGACAAGGAGGAGAATAATTCTGGGAGGTGGGAGGCTGAGGCAGAGAGACACAGGTGCCACCATGACAAGTGAGATGTAAGGTACCAGTAAGCCACGAGTCATGTGGCAACTTATAGACTAATAGATATGGGTTAATTTAAGATAGAAGAACTAGATAACAAGAAGCCCGCTGTGGCCATACAGTTTGTAAGCAATATAAGTCTCTGTGTGTTTACTTGGTTGGGTCTGATCGGCTGCGGGACTGGCGGGTGAGAGAGATATTTCCTGACCATGGGCCAGGCAGGACCAGAAAAACTCTAGCTACAGTGCCTTTGTGTTAATTTTTCCTATATGAGTTCTACTAATCCATAAGCATAGGAGATCCTTCCATCTTCTAGTGTCTTCTGCAGTCTCTGACTTCAAGGTCTTACAATTTTCATTCTAGGGTTTCCATAGTAACCATATTGCTTAGTGTTATTCCTCCAGTTTTTCTGTTTCTTTGTTTGTTTTGAGAGCAAGAGTGTTTCCAAGATCTCTTTCCTAGTGTGTTTGCTATCTGTATGTAGAAAGACTACTATATTTTAAACAACTGTGTTTTTTTTTTATTTATCTGTTTTGTGTATGTGAGTCTTTTGTCTTTATATATGTCTGTGTACCCCATGCATTGCTGGTACTTGTAGAGGTAGGAAAAGGGTGTTAGATCCCCTGGCCTTGAAGTTATGGATAACTGTGAACTAGCATGTAAAGGCTAAGAATCGAAACTAGGACAGCGAGTGTGGGGATGATGCCAACATATGAAATTAGCATTTCTATATGGATAGAATGTGCTGTGGATGTCAAGTCTATTAATGCCTGTTTTATCACTCTCTCTCTCACACACACACACACACCCAAATATCTTTATGCCCTGAATATGACTCAGGATAAATAGAATATTTTTAGAATATTCTGCTGTGATTAACTGCCATGGCTATTGAAGGGATTTTATACCTTCTCAAAATTTGGCTTTTACATGTTTGCTTTGCCACATTGCTCTCCTTCAAAAGTTGTGTTATAACTCAACATTAGCCTTTTCCTTCACTCCTGACTCCTGCTATAAAAGGCATTACTGATCATATATATGGCAGTAGGTATTCTGTGGAATTGTGATATTTACAGGAAATGCATGGGTAAATCTAAAGCAGTATTAAATTCCTTCTATAGAAAAGCATAACCTACATAAAGTAAAGTCTGAAAAAGAATATAAACAGGTGGACCTCAAGAATAATTTGTTACCACTCTGCAATTACTGGCTGTACGATGACTACAGAAATTATGTATGTGGTATGTTTTCTTTCCTATATGACACAGAGATAAAATCATTTCTTTATAGCTTTTCAGAGTTGTAATATCTTTATATATAAGAAAACTAAGGTTGAAGACAGAGGAAGGTTTAAATTTTCACTTCCACTTACTGTCTTGTGTGGTTTTTTTTTTTTGGATTTTCGAGACAGGATTTCTCTGTGTAGTTTTGGTGACTATCCTAGATCTCACTCTGTAGAACAGGCTGGCCTCGAACTCACAGAGATTGGCCTGGCTCTGCCTTCCAAGTGCTGGGATTAAAGGCATGTGCCACCACTGACCAGCTGTCTTGTGTGATCTTTAACTCAGTATTTATTTTATGTACTTAAGTGACAATAATATTTTAAATGACCATTGCATACATAAATTGTGTGTATTACTTGCTTTGGTGCCTGACATCTGTCTTAAACTGCATTATGTGCATCTGCTGTAAGTGGTGATAATTACAGTGGTAAAGATTACAGTAGGAAAGAAAATGTAAATGTAGTAAAATACTCTCCATAAGTTAAAATAAACTGTATTTTTGGCTTATATGCATTTATTTATTATGATAATAGTTATCTTTTAAACTATCATATTATCTCCAATCTATAGTTTAACCACTTTGAGGTTTGAACAGGAAAAGAATGCTTGTACTCAATAGCAGTAGCACACAGCACCCCAATTCAGCATACATTTAGTAACCCAAACATCAGCAAATATAAATCAGGAGACATCTTTTTCATCTTACCTTGACTCTCTACAAAATCTGCCATGTTTCTGTAATTTATGCACACATGTTTTATTAATTTTAAATGATAAAAAATGCCAACCTGTGTGTTTTAATTAAGAAATAGCAAATTGTTAACTGCTTAGAAAGGAAAAGATAAAGTCAATTATATAATCCCATTTATAGATTTATTTGTAAAAGTTGCCTGTAAGAAACTGAATCAATTTAACCTCCTGCTACCCCCGGGGGGGGGGGCTAGAGAAACTGGATTTATTTACCCCTAGGGAGTTGGGGAGCCAACAAAAAGCACAGGTGGCTGAGAACTTTGCTTTGGCTTGTTGCCAGATGCCCCTCTTCTCTGTGTTACTTTGCTCTGATTTCTTTTTATGTGTAATCTAAGGCCACAGACAAGTTGAAATCAGTGTGCTTGGATTCATGTCAAATGTGTTTCTGACCTTTTAATTATAGATTAGAACTTTGAGAAGGAAGCTACTCAGGAATCATTTGTTCAGGGTTCTGTCCTGTCTGCTCTGGCCTTTTCACTCTGGTCTCAGCCTTTGGCACATTTGGACCTTCTGGCCTGACTTGGTTCCATTGGCTTCATTTTCCACTGTCATATCTCTCCTGATTCTCATTAAGCACTTTTTGAACTTGTAGCTATTTAGGCCCATCACTATAGTAACCTTTCTGACTTCAGTTATTTATGAATGCTATTACCCGTAAAAAGCTCCATGTCACACTCATTTCTACTTTAAGTTAGTCTGCAAATAATTCAGCTTTCTGTTCTTAGCTGAGGTGATCGTAGCTTCTCCACCCAACCTACAAACATGTTCCAGTCTTACAGAATTGCAAGACACACTTTGACAGTTGTGTTCAAATGCCTGCAACTCTGGGGGGCACTACGCATCCAAAAACACCACAGTCACTCTTAAACAAGAAAAAAAGATGGTCCAGTGGGATGGTCATGCCTGGAAAACTAAGCTGCAAATATTTACACTAATTCAAAAAACACCACAATTGAGTGTACACACACACACACACACACACACACACACACACACACACACACACACACTGGTTTATGAATTAGAGATTAATCAAATTTTAATAAGCAGGAAATACTAGCATAGAAGCACATGGCTTACCCTCGTTGTAATTTTCTTTTTCTACTTTGTAGGAAAAAGTGCAGCATTTACAGAAGGCTTTTGCTTCACGCGTAGACAAATCCACGCAGACTGAACTTCTAGGCTGTGATGTAAGTAGCTATATGAAACCTTTTTTTTTATCTTCTTCATTGGTCTTCAGACTTCCACAGCTTATTTACCTCTGCTGTGGTGTCCTGCATTGACTGAATAGAATTAGGCTGTGCACTAGTCCTCACTTGTTCTCAAACAATCCCCAAACACCTTGTTGAATTGGAAAAGATAATTCCAGGCCCCAAGTGGCATTACAAAGTCCTATTAATTGTTTTAAACCAACATCTCTTACATGCTTTTCTGAGCTAGTGAATCTTAAGACACACGAGAATGTGCACAGGAATACTAGGATAATTTGTTTTTAAGGAAATTCTAATTTATTTATTTGCAATTTAATAAAGTTATTAGGTTTGCAATAACCTAAAGCCAAACATTTTTACATGCAGGCATATAAAAGAAAACCTCCAACTTGGCAAACAATGCTACAATAATGCTTTAGCTCTCAGGCTTCAGTGTAGGCAATGCAAGTAATTTAATTAAAAGTTAGTATTTTTTCTTAATGTAAAATACTTGCTGATAGGATTGTAAGATGTGCTGTAACCCAATAATCCTCCATAAATCCTAAAGCTGGTGTAAATAACAATCTTTTCTTTTTTTTTTCTTTTTTTTGGTTTTTCGAGACAGGGTTTCTCTGTGTAGCTTTGCGCCTTTCCTGGAACTCACTTGGTAGTCCAGGCTGGCCTCGAACTCACAGAGATCCGCCTGGCTCTGCCTCCCGAGTGCTGAACAATCTTTTCTTAAACATAGCTGTAATATTTGTGTTTTGTTGAATTGCTTTCAACTCCCCTTTGCTGAAAAGTAAAGGAATTCTCCTGCTCATTGCCATCTATTGGGAGAATCTGTTCTTACACTTAGAAATGTTGATGAGTAAGCTGTCACTTCTTTGTTCACAAGAAACTGGATACATTCGGCTTTGTGAACATTTCACTATAATGATAACATATGTTTATATTTACATTTCATATTGTCAGATAACATGAATATAGATGGCATTCTTGTGCTGCCATGCAAACGGCAACAGTATTGTTAATATTGCACTAATTACATGTCTCTTTAACAAATTAATCCAGTTTTGAGTTCTAGGACAAATTGTTTTCAAAATTTAACATTAGTTTAAAGGTGCTAAAACCTATGGTTTTTTTTCCAGAAAATTTTTCTATAGTATTTATTTTAGTATTTTCTTCTGGATGTTTAAATATTCTACAGATACTAATATCATTATAGCAATGTTTCTAGCCTAGTTTTATATGTTATATACACGCTGTTAATCTTTATTTTTGAAAGGAACAAGTTTTATAATTTTAGGATAGTTTAAAATAAGTAATCCATTGTTTATCTCCTTTGAGGGACTTCCCTCCTCCTTGATATAACAATTGTAAACATATATTTGTGTATCAGTTCTTAGGGTATAGCCCCAACACGTATTTTAGTCAACTATCTGTGTATTTCTAAGACTGGATGTCAGAGATGTTTCAAAAAGAATTATAAAAACATAATCCCCATAAAACTGTTTTGCAATATACATCATAGCACATGTATACTACAGGTTAGCTTAGAATTCAACTACTTCAAAGCACTCAATTCTTAGCTGAGTTATCTGAATTCCAGGAAGGTGAAACCGTGTTTTTTATCATGAGATCTGTAAGGTGCTTGGATTGTAGGAAAAATAATGCATTCTTAATACAAAGACAAGGAAGACCCATATGCATTTGTATTTGGGAATTAATATTTGAGTACCTGCGTTCTAACTGGCTCAGTGAGTTAACATAGACAAATAATAAAAGACTTTTATGCAACAGGTTCAAGCTTTAGATCCCATTGTGAATGCTGGTGAGAACGGTTGTCTGAGGGGTGAATGCTGCCCCTGGAGAAATAACTAAGCTGAGAACATTTATACTTAAGACCCCAGCTACCTGCCAACTCTTTCAAATTTGCTTCTCTGTGGCTCATTATATTCTTTTTTGCAAAATACATCATAGTACTAGGTTTTAGAAATATGTAAATGCAAATTTTATGAAGGAGTCAGGAACATGATAGTTCTCTTAAAGTCCTCATTGTTCTTTATGTGATGAAGGCAAATCAGCCTGTGACCTGAGGTCAAGAAAGAATACTTCCTTGGTTATGACTCCTAAAGCATTCCCATACATAAGCAATTGTTGGGGTTTGGAGAGCTGTTTACAGAGAACAGTACTCAATTCATGTTGATATGCTTAGCATTTCCTAGTCATTTAAATATAACACAATCTGCAGAATCAACAAATGAATGACTAAATGCACAGAAACTTGGAAAAGTAGCTGTATTTAACTACGTGAATGAACTGGAGAGTGCTTTCTATATGAAAACTTGAGGAAAGAAACATTATAAATCAGTTAAAAATAAGGCATTTTTAGAATGATGAATTGTATGATAACTGGGACATATACACACTTCCCCAGGAACAGGAAGTATCATCCATCGACTGCAATATTTATTTGTAAATAATTTAATTTACATCTGCGTATGAATCACTATCTTTATAATATTTTCTTCACAATATTTCATAAAATTGTTTTATGTTAGAATTTTATAAACACACACACACACACACACACACACACACACACACACACACACACACCTATATATGTGTACCAAACCTCTATTCATAATTTTGCTAGAGCTTCTCAGGAAAGAAAGAAGAATTTAGTTGAAACCTTTTCCATCATCCTTGGTGGATGCTTTCCTACCTGCTTTTTGAAGCTGTCAATATCAACCACCATTTGCTGTTCATGGACCAATGTGATCGTGTGTCAGAGGGTTGAATGTCAAACTACAAAAGGCCGAGTCACCATTAGCATTCAGGACATGGTTTTTGCTATATATGCTACATAAGAAAGTAATCTGTTTGTCCCTGTGCTTTATCCAACCTTGGTCTCAACAATTCTCGCTCATATAAACCCTCCTCATTCTCGCTAATTGGACTCCCAGAGATCCACCCGGGGCCTAGTCATGGATCTCTGCATCCAGATCCCTCAGTAGTTGGATGAGGGTTCTAGCACGACCATTAGGGTGTTTGGCCATCCCATCACCAGAGTAGGTCAGTTCGGGCTGTATCTCGTCCATTGCCAGCAGTCTGTTGTGTGGGTATCTTTGTGGATTTCTGTGGGCCTCTCTAGCACTTTGCTTCTTCCTGTTCTCATGTGGTCTTCATTTACCATGGTCTCCTATTCCTTGTTCTCCCTCTCTGTTGTTGATCCAGCTGGGATCTCCCGCTACCCCAAGCTCTCTTTCCCTCAACCCTCGCCTTTCATTACCCCCACTCATGTCCAGGCTGTTCATGTAGATCTCATTCCATTTCTCTGTCATTGGGCGATCCCTGTGTCTTTCTTGGGGTCCTGTTTTCCAGGTAGCCTCCCTGGTGATGTGAGTAGCAGACAAGTCATCCTTGTTTCATGTCTAGTATCCTGCTATGAGTGAGTACATACCATGTTTGTCTTTCTGAGTCTGGGTTACCTCACTCAGGATGATTTTTTCTAGATCCATCCATTTGTCTGCAAACCTCATGATGCCATTGTTTTTCTCTGCTGAGTAGTATTCCATTGTGTATATGTACCACATTTTGTTTATCCATTCTTCAGTTGAAGGGCATCTGGGTTGTTTCCATGTTCTGGCTATTACAAACAATGCTGATATGAACATAGCCAAATGAATGGAAACACATGAACTATGAACCAATGGCTGAGGGGTCCCCACTGGATCAGGCCCTCCGAATGGGTGAGACAGTTGATTGGCTTGATCTGTTTGGGAGGCATCCAGGCAGTGGGACCAGATCTTGTGCTCATTGCATGAGTTGGCTGTTTGAAACCTGGGGCCTATGCAGGATTGTTTGGCTCGGCCTGGGAGGAGGGGACTAGACCTACCTGGACTGAGTCTACCAGGTTGACCTCAGTCTGTGGGGAAGGCTTTGCCCTGGAGGAGATGGGAATGGGGGGGGGGGGGTTGGGGGGAAGGTGAGGGGGACAGGAGGGGGGAGAACAAGGGAATCCGTGGCTGATATGTAGAACTGAATTGTATTGCAAAATAAATTAAAATAAATTAAAAAAAATTAAAAAAAAGAAAGTAATCTATAGGAATACAGAATGAAATATGTTAATAAAAGTCCACTATAGACAAATTTAAAGGCTTTTAAATAAGCTCTTTTATGAAACAATTTTATCAGGAATCTCAAAACCAAATAATTTCTTAAGTGTCATCTGTACTTTTGAAACCAGATAGAAGATGAATGGGTAGGGTCAGGAAGAAACACTGTTTGCTATAAGACCATATCAACTGATTGGATCTTTCTGATTACATCACCTACATTTAAAGGCCTCCATATAGTACATATTATACTGTTTGTAAATATTTTGAAGCTTGAGAGCTACTGCAAATAATAATTTGATTAAACTATTTGAGAGTGAATAGCTAAATTCAACAAGGAAGGTCTTAAATATTATCAGTGAGAAAATTTAGGATTTAATTAATTTAATATCTTCAAGTAATATTTTACTTCCTTGCTATGTTTTATAAAAAGTTATTTTGTGCAAATATGATTGACTTCAAGTGTAAATTTTATTTCAAGTAATGCGTTGATTTTACTTACAATAATCATAATATCTGTCTTTTATTGTTAGAATTTTGAGTGAAGTGATCTACTACTTTGTATATGTTTTAAATTTTAGAGAATATGTTTATTACTATTGAATTTTTAAAATTTTGATCACTTTCTAAAATGTGAACTTACCAGATATTGAATCAAATATTAAATTGTTCTGATCAGTGTATATATTATCGATGCTTTTCATTTGACTATTGAAAATTTGTTGAATTATATAATCATTTATATTTTTGATTAAGTCCAGTATTATATATATATATATGTTTGATTTAATATTATCTATGTTTTTCAACTATTTTAACTTATTTTCTTAAGGAATTTGCTTTATATATGAAGTTTCTAATTATAGACTAGAAAAATAA